ACATTGGCCTTTCCGGGGTGATACAAAATGGTGATATCATAGTCTTTCAACAACTCCAACCATCTTCTCTGCCACAAATTAAGATCTTTTTGTTTGAATAGATACTGAAGGCTACGATGATCAGTAAATACCTCACACGAGACACCGTAGAGGTAATGCCTCCAAATCTTCAGCGCATGAACAATGGCTGCCAGTTCTAAGTCATGAACAAGATGATTTTTCTCGTGAACTTTCAACTGTCGTGACGCATATGCAATTACCCTGCCATCTTGCATTAATACTGTACAAAACCTAATGTGTGATGTGTCACAATATACCGTATACGATCCTGAACATGTGAGTAATACCAACACTGGCTCCGTAGTCAAAGCAGTCTTCAGCTTCTAAAATCTCAACTCACACTCGTCTGACCATCTGAATGGGACACCTTTCTGGGTCAGTCTGGTCAATGGGCTTGCTATAGATGAAAACCCTTCCACGAACCGACGATAATAACCTGCTAAACCCAGGAAACTCCGGATCTCTGTAACTGAAGTAGGTCTAGGCCAATTCTGAACAACCTCAATCTTCTTCGATCCGCCTTTATGCCTTTTGCCGATACAACATGCCCCAAAAAGGCAACTGAGTCTAACCAAAATTGACATTTTGAAAATTTGGCATATAACCGATTATTCTTCAAAGTCTGAAGCACACTCCGAAGATGATGCTCATGCTCCTCTCGACTGCTGGAGTAAATCAAGATATCATTAATGAATACTACCACAAAAGAATCCAAATAGGGCTTTAACACCCGATTCATCAAATCCATTAATGATGTTGGGGCATTTGTCAACCCAAATGACATCACTAGGAATTCGTAATGCCCATACCGAGTCCGAAAAGTTGTCTTAGGGACATCAGATGCCCTAATCTTCAATTGATGGTAACCAGACCTCAAATCAATCTTCAAAAAATACCTTGGCACCCTGAAGCTGATCGAATAAGTCATCAATTTTTGGTAACAGATATTTGTTTTTGATAGTGGCCTTATTCAACTACCCATAATTTATCCACATCCGCATAGAGCCATCTTTCTTCTTTACAAATAGTACTGGTGCACCCCAGGGCGAGACACTAGGTCTAACGAATCCCTGATCAAGCAAGTCTTGTAACTGCTCATTCAATTTTTTCAACTCTGGTGGGGCCATACGGTATGGTGGAATAGAAATGGGCTGAGTGCCCAGAGCCAAATCAATACCGAAGTTAATATCCCTGTCGAGTGGCATCCCCGGCAAATCTGCAGAAAATACTTCTGGAAATTCATGAACAACTGGTACTGAGTCCAAGATAAGTAGGTATTTTAGCCTATTAATTGCTCTCTTTTACTTGTGTTTTGGGCCATAAATGTGTGAAGGTATTCCCGAAAACTAACTTAATATGCTTGCTTGCTAGGATTATTCAAAATGAGCCAAAGGAGCCATAATCAACTCATAAAGGAGTTAAAACTTGAACAAAAACCAAGATTGGGCCAAGAGGTGTGGAACGCGAACCGCAACAAAAAATTGCGGCCGCGAAAGTATCAACGCGGGCACGGTCATTATTTCGCGGTCCGAGATATGAAGAATCAGAGATGTTTTTTGGGCACAAACATGAACGCGGACCACGACAAGAAGATGCGGCTGTGAAAGTACCATCACAGCTGCGATGGGAATTCCACGGACCGTGGTTGCTAAGGTACAGAGAATGCATAATTCAAGCAAAAATGAGAAGGGCGGCCCGCATCAAAGTTACGCGACTGCGAAAGTTTCTCATGCGGACGCGGTGGAAATTATGCGGTCTGCGAAACAAGGTTCAACCCAGGTCCAGGTGTGAAGAAACACAGACCGCGATCAGAATTACGCGCCGCAAAAGCAAGTGTGCGACCGCGTTCAGAATTACACGGGCCCGAAACTTTTGCAGGGGTATTTTTGTCAAAAAGTTTCAGCTTAGTATAAATAGATCTTTTTGTCCATTTTAGGTTATGTTATATTTTTGCTGAGTATGTGAGACGGCTAAGGTTTCCTTTTTCGGCAATTTTGTACAAGATTTACTTTATAACATTAGATTTGCATCTTCTAATTTAGCATTATGGATTATATCTTCTCTTTATCTTTAATTTTTGCTATTATTATGAGTAGCTAGACCCATAGCTAGGGTTGTGACCCAACCCTAGCGTGGGTATTTAATGGGTCTTGAATTTTAGGGCTTGATTGTTTATGGGTTAGTGATATTTAGCCTAGTTCATGCTAGAATTGTAGAATTAATATTTGCAAACACTGATTCATGCCTTTCTGACTTAGGCTATTCTTGAGGAGGAGGGACTAAGTCTAGGAAAACTAGGCTAATAAGGAATTGGACTGAACTCAAGAAATTGATAGCCCCAACTTGAGCTAGAGATAGTAATAACCGACTTGAGCTAATATCACTTGTATTGCATGAATACCCATTCGGACTTGAGAAAGCCAAATTGGGAAAAATCACTCAAACTATCGAGAGTTATAGAGTGAGTACTTGGGTGTGATAGCTATATTACGATCCCAAATTAATCAAGATTTCCTTAAATTCTTACTACCCGTTAAATGTCCACCTAGGCGAAAGTCACTACCCTAGTCCTTTTAAACACTTGAAAACCAACATAAAAAATATTGTACTTAGCTTTAATCATTGCATACAATAGAATAGAATTAGAAGTAGAATCAACACCATCATGTTTGGAAGTGCAATTAGCAACAACACACACATCTAGATTTAGATAAATACCTAATTCCAAATCAATTAACTCCCTGTGGAAATCGATCCTGACCTTGTTGGGTAAAACTGCATCGACCATCCTCGCTACTCAATAGTGGTGTAGGTTTGGACCCGATCAATTTTTGGCGCTGTTGCCGGGGAGTTAGACGGTCTTTGCTATATATCTAACTATTTGTGTGTTTTCCTTTGCTTTCCGTTTTTCTAATTTTTGTATGTCAATTGCGTTTAGGTACCAAATGGCTTATAACGAGGTCCTCAGACATATTCCTTAGGGTGAGGAGGCAGATGAAAATGAAGTGGATGAGGTTTATCTTGAACCTCAAGTATAAAGAAGAGGCCGCCCGCCTCATGACAACGTTCCAAACCCTCCTCCACGTCCTCCAAGGGCAGCACACCGGGTATTGCCCAATGAAGACTACGCAAGTGCAATTGTCCTGCCCCGGATTCGGGCGGGCAATTTTCAAATAACCAATGTCATGCTTACTCTGTTGGAACAAAGTGGTTTCTTCACCGGAGCTCCACATCAGAATGCATATAATCATCTCAAAGGTTTTGTAGACACATGTTGGGGGAGCAAGCAGACGAATGTATCTGAGGACACTTTGAGGTTAAGGCTTTTACCTTTCTCACTTAGAGGGAAGGCTTTAGATTGGCTTGAGAGGCTACCCAACTATTCCATCTCCACTTGGGATGAGTTGGCCGAGAAGTTTATAGCGAAGTTCTTTTCTCCGGTACATATGGCAACATTGAGTGATGAAATCCGTGCTTTTAAACAAGAGCCAAATGAATCGTTACATGAAATTTGGGAACGGTACAGGACAATAGTCAAAGAGTGCCCCAACAACGATATGACTGAAGCAATGATCCAGCAAACCTTTTATAGGGTTATCAACATAACTAACCAGTGTGTGGTGAATCAGCTCGTAGGGGGTAACTTAATGATCACGCCATATTCAGAAGCATGTGAAATATTAGATGAGATGGCGGACACCTCTTCAGCTTGGCAAAGTCAGGCCAACATTCCCCAGGGTGACCCTAATGTTATCCACCTTCACAAGGAACTCCATGATCACAGACAAGCCATAGCATAGTTGACAACTACCATGAATCAGTTAGACAAGGCACAATGTCAGCAGGTTTAGGAACCAAATCAAGTAAATGCCATGGAAGGTGTGAATGTAATGGTTAACAAGAGGAGACAAAGAGGTCAACAAGTTCAACACAATCAGGATCAATTTGAGCAAAGTGGTAGTGGGTACGACTAAGATGACGCTTATGATGATCAAAGTGAAGAGGTTCAATACATGAACAATTACCAAGGTCAACGCAGAAATGCTCCAAATCAACAACGGTGGAGATCACAAGGAAACAATCAAAATTGGGGCAACCAAGGCCAAGGGAATTGGAATAGTGGCAACAACAACAATCCGAACAATTGGGGGAACAATAATCAAAATTGGGGGAACCAAGGAAATAACCAAGGCAATTGGGGTGGCAACAATGATAGTAATTGGGGAGGCAATGGAAACCAAGGGGGTTGGAAAAATAATAATCGAGGGAACCGGGGGTCGGGCCCTCAAAGGCTCCCGATGTATCAACAACCCAACAATTCGCCTCCATATCTGTCACAAGGGCAAAGTTCTTCCAACAATGAGATGGGACGGATAGAAAGTATGTTCAAGCAAATGATTGAAAGAAACGCCGACTCTTATGCCCCAATAGCCTCCCACAATACTTCTATCCGCAACTTGGAAGTACAAATGGGTCAAATTTCTCAAGCATTGAATACTCGCCCTAAGGGGGCACTACCATGTGATACAGTAGTAAACTCGAAGGGTGGGAATAATAAAGGCTGTACTATGGCGGTGACCACAAGAAGCGGTAGAGGTAGAGATGCAAGTACCTCCAATCCAAGAAAGATTATGAATGATGATTTGGTTATGAAATAAGATGATGAGATCTAAGCCAATGATGAAAATGTGAATGATGAAGTGAGGATAGATATTGATGACACCGTGGAGGAGACACAAAATTATGTGAACCTGTCTAGGGAACACGTGATAAGCATACCGGAAATGGTAGTGCCCAAAGCCAAGGCCCCTTTGCCAAGGCCTCCTCCATCGTATCCTCAAAGGCTTGCAAAGCAAAACAACGAGAATCAATTCTAGAAATTCATTGATATGATGAAAAGTTTGTCCATAAATGTACCTTTGGTTGAATATCTAGAACAAATGTCGAGATATGCCAAGTTCATGAAGGACTTGGTAACAAAGAAGAGGTCAATGAACTGTAAGACGATCAAAATGACACATCAAGTGAGTGCCATTATGCATTCCATGGCTCCAAAGCTAGAAGATCGTGGTGCCTTTACAATTCCAGGCACTATCGATAGTGCCAATTTCCCCAAAGCCTTGTGCGATTTGGGAGCAAGCATTAATTTGATGCCATATTCTGTGTTCAAGACATTGGGGATTGGGAAACCAAGACCTACTTCCATGAGGTTGCAAATGGCGGACTGAACAATAAAAAGGTCATTGGGGATAATTGATGATGTGCTAGTTCGGGTTGACAAGTTCATACTTCCCATAGATTTTGTGATACTCGACTGTGAGGTTGACTATGAGGTGCCAATCATATTGGGGAGATCTTTCGTAGCAATAAGGAAGGCATTGGTTGATGTGGAAGCTGGCGAGCTCACCTTCTGGGTGGGCGATGAAAATGTTGTGTTCCACATGTACAAGTCAATGAGGCAGCCTAATAGCAACGAAGTATGCTCTTTTGTGGATCTTGTGACGGAGGTGCTTGTTGATGACACGAGTGCTATGATCAATGTGGAAGACTCTCTGGAAGCTGTGTTGTTGAATCATGAGGATGATGAGAAGGCGGGCTTGATAGAATGTGCAAATGCTTTGCAAGGAATGGGATCTTAATATATGGACCCCGTAAACCTTCCTTGGACCTTTAGAACCGGAAGACTCCGCCAACAAAGCCCTCAATCGAGGAGCCACCAACATTGGAGTTGAAGCCCTTGCCTTCACACCTCAGGTATGAGTTCTTAGGCCCTTGTTCCATATTACCTATTATTCTTTCTTCGTGCTTAACTAACGTGCAGGTAGATTCCACCCTTGCGGTGCTTCAAAGAAGGAAGAAGGCAATAGGTTGGACATTGGTGGATATTCGGGGTATAAGCTCCGCCTTCCGCATGCAAAAAATCATTTTGGAGGAAGATGCCAAACCCTCTGTGGAACATCAAAGGAGGTTGAATGAGGCCATACAAGAGGTAGTCAAGAAAGAGATCATCAAGTGGCTAGATGCAGGGGTTGTGTACCCCATTTCTGATAGTTCATGGACTTCGCCGGTACAATGTGTCCCCAAGAAGGGGGCATGACTATGATCACAAATGATAGAAATGAATTGATCCCCACAAAAACTGTCACCGGTTGGAGGGTATACATGGATTATAGGAAGATGAACAAAGTGACCCGCAAAGACCATTTTCCATTGCCATTTCTTGACCAAATGTTGGATAGACTTGCCGGGCGTGCTTATTATTGCTTTTTGGATGGGTACTCCGGATATAACCAGATTCTCATTGCACCTGAAGGCCAAGAGAAAACCACCTTCCCTTGTCCGTATGGCACATTTGCATTCTCAAGGATGTTGTTTGGTTTGGGTAATGCACCGGCTACCTTTCAGCGGTGTATGATGGAAATATTTACGGATATGGTGGAGGACTCCCTCGAGGTGTTCATGGATGATTTCAGTGTTGTGGGTGACTCCTTTGAAGAATGTTTGTATAATCTTGATAAAGTGTTGGCCCGATGTGAGGAGACTAACTTAATGCTTAATTGGGAGAAGTGCCACTTTATGGCCGAGGAGGCCATTGTCCTCATCCATAAGATCTCCAAGAACGGTATTGAAGTGGACAAAACAAAAATTGAAGTGATATCAAAACCCCCTCCTCTGACTTCCGTCAAGGGAGTGAGGAGCTTTCTTGGTCACGCAGGGTTTTACCGTAGGTTCATCAAGGATTTCTCAAAAGTGGTGAACCCCTTGTGCAAGTTGTTGGAAAAAGATGCCAAGTTTGTGTTCAATGACGATTGCATGAATGCTTTTGAGCTACTCAAGTATAGGTTGACTACCACTCCCATCATTACCACACCCAATTGGAGCTTACCATTTGAGCTCATGTGCGATGCTAGCGACGTTGCGGTATTGGGGCAAAGAATCAACAAAATATTTCATCGGGTCTATTATGCAAGCAAAATAATAAACGATGACCAAGTCAACTATACGGTGACCGAGAAAGAGTTATTACTCATTGTCTTCTCTATGGAAAAGTTCAGGCCGTACCTCATGGGTGAAAAAGTGATTGTGCACACCGATCACGTGGCACTTCGTTACTTGATGACAAAAAAGGACTCTAAGCCTAGGTTGATGAGATGGGTTCTTCTTCTACAAGAGTTTGACCTTGAAATCAAATACCGAAAAGGGAGTGAGAATCAAGTTGCGGACCACTTGTCCCGCTTAGAAGAGGAGGGGAGGCCCCATGATGGCCTCGAGATTAATGATTCATTTACGGATGAACAACTCCTCTATGTGTCTGTGACTGGGATACCTTGGTTCGCCGATGTGGCTAACTTTCTTGTGACCCGCATTATCTCGAATGAGATCTCTTCAAACCAAAGGAAGAAGCTCAAACGGTACTGCTTGGATTATTATTGGGACGAGCCATATCTTTTCAAAATTTGCAATGATGGTGTTATCCGGCAATGTGTTCCGGAAGAAGAGCAATTGAGTATTCTTGTAGCTTGCCATTCCTCGCCCTATGGTGGTCACCATGGTGGGGCGAGAACTGCTACAAAAGTCCTAAGATGTGGGTTCTATTGGCCCACCTTGTACAAAGACGCTAGGGTGCTTGTTAGGCATTGATATGAGTGCCAAAGAGCTTGTGGTATTTCCAAGAAGAATGAAATGCCCCTCACCACTATTCTTTAGATTGATATTTTTGATGTGTGGGGCATCGACTTTATAGGGCCATTTGTGAGTTAATGTGGGAACACTTATATTCTGGTTGCTGTTGATTATGTTTCCAAATAGGTTGAAGCTGTGGCTTTGCCCAACAATGAGGCACGGAGTGTGGTGGCTTTCTTAAAGAAAAATATCTTCACAAGGTTCGGCACCCCAAGGGCTATCATTAGTGATGGGGGTTCTCATTTTTGCAACAAAGCCTTCGACACTTTACTTTCTAAGTATGGTGTAAATCATAAGGTGTCAACCCCTTATCACCCACGGGCTAATGGACAAGTTGAGGTCTCCAACAGGGAGATCAAGAGCATATTATCCAAGACTGTCAATGCAAATCGGACTGATTGGTCAAGGAAACTTGACGATGCTTTATGTGCCTATCGTACAACTTACAAGACTCCAATTGGTATGTCTCTGTACCGGTTGGTATTTGGGAAAGCATGCCATATTTTGGTTGAATTAGAGCACAAGGCCATGTGGGGGATGAAGAAGTTGAACCTTGAATGGGATGTAGCTGCCAATCTCCGGGTAGAGCAACTAAATGAACTTGATGAGTTTTGGTTCCATGCTTATTCCAGCTCATCCTTGTATAAGGATAAGATGAAGTACTTATATGACAAATATATTCGAAACAAAGAGTTCAAGGAGGAGCCATGATCTCTGGTTTGATGAAATCCCATGACTTTTGAAAAAAAACCATAGTGAAGCCATCTAGTCCTGGGGCCTTGTCAGGGGAACATGACTAAATGATGGCATGAACTTCTTCTTCCTCAAAGCATTGCTCTAGCATCTTTCTCTCTTCTTCTGGTAGGCTGGCAACATCATCAAAGCTGGAAGTTGGTTTCCACTCTTCATTTTCTTTGTAGAGATTCTGGTCGTAGTTTAAGATCTCCCTCTTGATCAATTCTTTATCATCTGTAATCTCATCGCCTATCTTGAGCTTGTCAATAGAATTGTACCTCCTGTGTGAATTGGCCATTGTATGGAAATATCTAGTATTCCTATCCCCTTCTTTTAACCACAAATATCTAGATTTCTGCCTCCATGAGGTTTCTTCTGCATTAGCAATCTTTTCCAGCTCCATTTTCAGAGCTATGAACCTTTGCTTTTCAAGTTGGTCCGGAGCTCTGTTTTCTGTTGCCTGCTCTAAAACTGACAGCTCATCTAGCGCTCTGCTTCTCCTTGTGTCTAGCTTACCAAAGACTTCCCTGTTCCAGTATCTTTTTTCAAGCTCCTCAGCTTCTGGATTAGTACAAAATCTGGACTGCCACCTATTGTATAGTTCTGCCACCACCCCTTCACCATATCAATGAATCCTTCTTGTTGCAGCCACATATTTTTAACTTGAAATAGGATGGTGTTGTGTCCCATTTTCCACTTTCTAACAATAAAGGTTTGTGGTCTGAAATAACTCTTGGAAGAGCCAATTGTCTGACAACATTGAAGCTTTCATTCCATTCTAGAGAAACTAGGAATATGTCAATCCGTGAGGCTTGGAAAATGTCCTCCCCTCTTGTATATTGAGCCCCTTGTAAAGGCAAATCCATAAGCTGCAGGTCCACAATTGTTTCTGAGAAGCTCTTCATAGCTTTAGTCCTTCTAGTACAATTAATTATTTCCAAAATTAGAAAGCTGTCATTCTTTTTTAAACGAATTAAAAAGGAAATGTTACCATATAACATGGTACAGAGGGAGCACTATAAAGTTGAATAGAAATTAAAGAGGGAGTTGTCCGTAAAGAGAGTGTTTTTATAAATTGCTATTCAGTTGACCATCCAAAGTAGATTGTAAATGTAATACTGCTAGTTATACCCTATGTTGCGCGGACTCTCCAAAATGCTGTTGCACCCATGTCGGATCCTCCAAATATACACTACTTTTGGAGAATCCGGCACACCCGGTAATATTTTCGGGAAGTCCAAGCAACATAGGTTATACAGTCCGGCAATCCAGATACTCATTGAATTTTTGTATTCACTTACATAAAAAATAAATATACGTCAGGATATCCATCTACAAATAAGAGTTGTCCAAGCATTACTCACTGCACGCTTTTAATTTTGCAGGTGGCAGGAAAACAAAGTGTCGGACACCACAACAAATTCTTTATCAAGCTGCTTTGCGAGATGATTGGGAATCTGCTGAACCTATTCTGGAAAAGGATTTGAGTTTAGGTAGAGCTAAGATGACTAAACGCGGTGAAAGAGTTCTTCACATTGCAGCTGTGGCAAGAAGCACACGATTTGTACAGAAGCTAGTGAATAAATTGGAGGAAAGTGACTTGGAACTGCCAAATAACGGCGGAACTAATGCGTTTTGTTTTGCAGCTGCGTCAGGGGTTGTTAAAATTGCTAGTATAATGCGGGATAAGAATAACAAGCTACCCAACATCATCAGTAAACATGGAAGTGCAATCACAATGGCTGCTTTGCTCGGACACAAAGATATGGTAGTATATCTTTACGAGGTCACAGATCTTGCCGCACTAGACAACTTAGAACGCTTTGAACTTCTCGAAGCCACAATCCAGCATGAGTTGTATGGTATGAATATGAGAGATCTCTTCCAATGACAAATATATATATATATATATA